CAAAACCTTTACACAGAGTAAGTTGTTTTGGATCTCTTATATTTTCATAATTACCTAATTTACTACTCTCCATTTTCCAGGTATAAAGCCATAATTCTAGGTTTATTTACAGTAAGTTTAAATGATTGAGCCCTTTTTTTACTTTGAGTGTATTTGATAAAGGGTCTCACTATGCAGCTCAGACTTGTAGTGATCCTCCAGTTTTCAGCCTCCCGGGCACTGGGATTACAGGTGTGAGCCACTATACCCTGTCTCAGTGGCTGGCTCAGTGTGCCTGAGGGCAGGTCCAGTGCAGCATGTGGTTCTGGGGATCGAATTCTGGTCCCTACACTTTAGTCTGCTGAGCTGTCTCACCTGCCTTAGCTCTTTATATTGCCAGTTCATATTTTGTAGATAAGTAGTCTGATATTTTTCTTTTTTTCTTTTTTTTACAGAACCGGGGAATTGAACTCTGGCCCTTGTGCTTGCCAGGGAAGCGCTAATTCCACTGAGCCATCTCCCTGGCCCCTGATATTTTTCTTCTAGTTAATATTTTCAAGTTTTCTAGGCTATTTGACTTCAGTTAATTTACATATTATAAGAAACTTTAGTTTAGGTCTTTCGTTATTCTTCCCGTAGTAGTCAAAAAGTTGCAAATCTGCTTTTAGTTCTTTCCTTCCCAATACATACATGGATTTTGTTTTGTGCTAAAAATTATCTGATAAAGTGTTCTTCTAAATTTTTGTCCAATATTTATCAGTATTCTCAGCTTTTAGTTTATGCTAGGAAAACAAACAGTTATGAGCAAGTATGAGCAAAAATGAGCAAGTATCCACTTTAACTAGTGGATTTATGTTTATGTTGCTCAGTAGGCTCAAACATAATAGGCTTTTCTTAAATCTTAGTAATTGCTGTAATTATTTGACATTAACATTATTGTTTCATAGTAAGGATCTTAGGGAATGTTTTTGAAACTGCTAACCCTTTGTCTTACCTTTCTTTTCGCTGAGACAAAACACCCAACACCTACAGTTAAAGGAAGAAAGGCTTACTTGGCTCAGAGTTTGTAGAGATTTCAGTTTATAGTCTGCTGGCTTCAGGCAGAGAGACATGACAGAGGGATGTTCCAGAGGAGAAATAGTTCATGGTGGGTAGAAGGCAGAGAGCTTCAAGAAAATGAGCTTCAATCAGCAAGCAACTATAGCAGATCCTTTCTGCCCTTTATATATTCTATCTAGGCTACCTGGATTAGGGTGAGTCCCAAACTAATCACTAGACTAATTTAGTAATTACATATCCTTAATTTGAGAATCACACACTTGATCCAGCCACTTCTGAAAAAGCCCTGCTTATGACTGCATGAAGCTTTGGGAGAACATCTAGACACAAACCATAACACCCTGTATTAGAAATTTGATGTAGTGGAAAATAAGATTGATTTTTACTAAAAACCAATGCTTGCTTTAGTTTATAGTGTAATCACAGTATAGCATGGATTCATTTTACCATTAACAAAAAACATGTTTAATTCTGTCATTCATTATTTTCTTTAACCATATTTTTAAAGTATTTTATTTGAAAGAGAAAAAACACAACAGAGCTTCAAAAAACATTAGTAGAGAGTTCTAATATTTATACATTTTATATTGCTTTTGTAGTATTCAGAGTGCAAGATAGTCATGAAATATTATCCAAACAATATTAGCACAAACTTTTCTTTGCAATGAACTAAGAGAAACTAGCTGCATAACCATCTTAACAATCTTGTGTTTAAATATACTTTTTTTCTTTTCCCCTTCCTTTCCCCTTTGCTCCATCACAGTTTATCTTTTATTTTGAATAGTTTCTTTCCAATTCACAATATCTATTGTACACTTGGAACCTTATTTACTTGTTCAGTTTCTCACACTAGTGAGGTAGTGTGGTGTTTATACATATGGGTCTGATTTATTCCACTTGTGAGTATTGTCTTGAGTTGTGTCCATTTAGCTATAAAAGGCTCCAGTTTAATCCTTCTTTATGACTAATACTCCATTATATTAAAAAAATCCTACATAGTTTGTATTCATTCCTGAGTTGATGGGCATTTGAGTTGTTTGCAAGATTTTCCTATTATAGTTGTGCTACTATAAATGTGGTGTATATATATCACTGTGGCATAATGTTTTTAAATTCTTCTGGAAAGATACCCAAATTAGCAATAGCTGGGTCAAATGGGGACTCCAACCTAGTTTTTAAAGGAATCTCCGTACTGATTTCCACAGTGGTTGTACAAGTCTGTGCTCCCACCAACAGTGGAAAAGGCTTCATTTTTCTTTAATCATATTTGAAGTGTTGTTTACCTTGCAGAATATTCTCAAAACTAACAACAGATTTTTAGAAAATCCTTTAAGAAACTCTTTGTTTTTAGGGGAACCTGAACATATAATAGGTCATTAGTATAATTAAAAAATCCTTAATATACAAGAGGTACTATCTGTCTTGGAAATCAGATCTTTAAGTAGACTTGTGAATAAATTTAACAGTTTCACTGAGTTTACTTAGGAAAGATAGTAATCATACAGAAATTTAAAGATAGCAAAAAATTTTAATACTTTGTATGTCAAAGTAGTCTCTGAGATAGTTTATTCCTTGAAATTATTAGAAGAATAATAAAATTTTGCAATTGGTAGAACCTTAGAATTCAGAGCAAGCCTATTTATTTCAAAAGAAGATATATTAGTGGAATTTAGATCTAGAATCTTATTGTTTCTTTTGTGATTCCAGCCACTAAACTGCTTTTATTACTAAATATCATAACTTACTTTAAATATGTTTGGTGTTAAATCATGTGGATAGGGCTCTCTCTGAGTTTTCTCTCAAACATTTGTTTCATTTACTTCATAGTGTCTTTTTTTTTTTTTTCCTTTGCAATAAAGTCATTTTAAAGATGAATGAGAAAAAATTGGAAACAACTTCCCAACAGCGGAAAATTCCTGAATGGATGTCAGTGCAGAATAAAGGATGTAATACAGAAGGAAAAAAGGTATAGTGTTCATTTACTATTTTTTAATTTATTAGTACAGTACATGTTTAAAGTATGTAAATATTATGTTCCCCATGGAGAATTGGCAGTGCACATAACACGTCCTAATTTATTTTCAGCCCCTTTCTGTCTTTCCATCCCATCTCCCTCCTTCAATCCTGTCTCCCTCCATCTCTTGCTTTCCTTTCTACTCTTCTTCCCCACTTCCTATTATCTCTCTTATTTTGCCTTCGGGCCTGTTATGTAAGAGAAACCATATGCTATTTGAGCATGTGTGTCTGATTTATTTCACTTGACATTGATTCCAGGTAAATCTATCTTCTTACAGATGACTTAAGTTCACTGTTTTTTATGGCAGAGTAGTACTACAGTGTGTATATATACCACATCTTTTCTTTCAGATGGAGAATTTAAAGTTGGCAGTTCAGTGAGTCAACCCTCTTTTTTTTTTGTAAACTTCAGGTCATTATATAGGTCAGAATATCTGTTTTGTGAATTAACCAGGATCTAGTTGTTGAATGCCTGAAGCAGAATAAATTTTAATTGGGTTAGTAAAATGAGAATTCTTAGTGTATAGTTCATCTTTTTATATCTAGTTTCTACAGTTGATCTTACTAGTTTGTTCCAATTCAGATATTAATTTAGACAGCATTAACAGTGGTGATTTTTTTTTTTGGGTAAGCCTTAAGTTCTAATAGATTTAAAATCTGGTAACCCTTTGTCAGGATTTCAGTGCCACAGTATTACATTACGGCTAATGTAATTACTGAAAAAACCTCCTGGGTTAAGTAAATGCTTAATGAAAACAGATTAAAAGTTTGAAAATATATTTATTAGGGAACATAACTTTACAGTGGGATGCTTTGGCTTTTTAAAAATTGACCTTGGATTTATTATTATTAGTCTTTAAAGCATTAACTAATACAACATAGAAGTAATGATTAAATATGTCAATGAGCTTTATTATTTCAGCAAGCATTATTAATATAAATTTTACTTTATTTTGCATTTGTTTAACTCAAGTCACGTATTCAGAAGAGTGTTTTTGAAGATGATCTCTCCTTCTTAGAATTCACGGGCTCAATTGTATATAGTTATGAAGCTAGTGATTGCTCTTTCCTATCAGAAGATATTAGGTAAGATTTGAATTAGCTAATTTTACTGATTTTGGATCTTTATAGCATATTAGAGCATGTAACTATTATCTTAATACTTAGAAGTACACTGAGTTTTACATTTGAGCTATGTTCCAGAGATAATTATTTCTATGTGTAGATTATCACTAAGTTCTGTTCTTTTTTTAAATAAAATAATCATGGAATTATTTATAATGTGTCTTTTTATTACTTTAATGTTTTTACTTTTAATTCTTAAGACATTATATATAGAATTATTGAACACATTGTGTATGTTTTACCGAACAGTTGAAAAAGTTTCTAAGTATACCTTTGCATCTTAAAACATTACAATAACAATATTGAATAGTGGGCATACTGGGGTCTGTTTTATTCAGGTAGTGATAGTTGCATTGCGATCCTTAAAAAGAACATTAGAAATGATTGGTAGTACTTTTAATTATTGCTTTGTGTCCTGTTTTCTGCTTCTGAAACAAAATTACCATCTATTGGGTAAGTTATAAAGAAAATAATTTTGTTTCTCAGTGTTGGAGGCTGGGAAATCTACTAGTTATATGTTGGCATCTGAAAGGGGACATTATGCTGTGGGATAATGTGGTGAAGGGCAAAAGGAGCAGAGAGAGGGTCCAAGGGGGCTGAACTGGAGCCTACTCTCTTGGTAGCCCACCCTCTCCTGTGGTAGCAGTAATTCATTCAGGAGTGCAGAGCTCTTGTGATATTGTCACCTTTTATCAGGTCCTGCCTCCCAACATTGTTGCACTGAGGATTTCAATTTTGACATGAGTTTTAAAACCATAGCATTTTGTGAAATTAAGGCTGCATAAAGCAATTTCAGGTTCTTTAAGCATTTTACAAGCTAAAGTAGTAAGGAATTAATTCAGATCTGTTTTGAAGTTACTATATTGTATTTGCTCCTGCCCATCTCCCTTTATTGTTACTTATTGCCTTTAAGAAACAATAGAAATAGCTAGGGCATGGTTGCACATACCTTTATTGTTAGTAAATACACTGAGATAGAGTATTTTGAGTTTGAGGCAGCCTGGGTTACATGATGAGATATGTCTGAAACCCTGCCTCTTAAAAGCAGAAGTACATGTTCTCCTGGTGATAGAATTTATTTAGAAATGCACTCAGGTGTCCTGTCTTCCACTCTAGTATTCTGGCCACTTTTGTATCTCATTGTATGGAATTCAGTTAGACTAACAAGGTAAAAATTAGTATGATTATATATAAACTTTACCAACATTTGCATTGCTATATAAGGAAATAATCATAAAGAATTCTTTATAAAGAATTCTTCAATAATTAGAAGAATTTTGAGTTTTGAGAAGTTGTAAGGCAAAGTTTTTGTTTTGTTTTATATTCCCCCTCTTCTGACCACTTTTAAGGTTTACCCCTTTGTGTGTGTGTGTGTGTGTGTGTGTGTGTGTGTGTAGTGGGTACTGGGGATTGAAAGCAGGACCTTAGCACTGGACTGCATCCCCACCCCTTTCAGTTTCTTTCAAGAGAGGGTATTGTTGCCTAGGTTGGACTCAAACTTGCAGTCTAGCTTCAGCCTCTTCAAGTGCTGTGGATATAGGCATGCACAACCATGCCTGGCTGACTTTGAACATTGTTAATATAAGAACTTCCCTACAATTTGATTATGTTGTGTCTTTGTATAGTGTGATTTGTGTTTATCCTGCTTAGGGTTCATTGAGGCTTTTTTTTTTTTTTTTAAATTTGTAGGTTTATAGTTTTCATCCAATTTGAAAATTTCTTCTCTCATCCTACAATTCTTTTCTCTTTCTGGACTTTCAGTAAGTTAAACTGCTTGATACTATGTTCTTTCAATCCCCCAACCCCTGTTGTGTCTTCAAGTTGGTTTAGATGTTTTTCTTTTGTATTATCTGATCTGCTGTTTATCTTTTCCTGTAAATATTTTGTTTTAGGTTTTTTTTTTTATTTCTAGAAGTTTTATTTAAAGATTTATCTACCATTTTGTTCTTAATGTTTCATGCTTTTGTTTAAATTCTTGAACATTTTTTAGCATATTTATAGTAGTTTTAATATATTTATTTATCTTGTTAATTTCATTTTTCTGGCTTTCCCCCCCTTGTATATTGAGTGATTACTGTCCTGGATATGGCTCACATTTTCCTGTTTATCTCATGGCTGTTAATTGTGCTGATTAGATGTTGTGAGTTTACTTTGTTGAATGTTAGATTTTTGTCATCTTTCAGAGCTTTATTCATCAGTTCTTTGAAGATCAGCTTTATATATTGAGACTTATGTTTAAACTTTACTTACTCACTTTCAGTTTCTGAGACAAAGTAACCAACACCTGCAGCTGAAGGAGGGGAGACTTATTTTTGACGCATGTTTTAGAAGTTTCAGACATTACTGGTTGGTTTGGTTTATGCAGACATGGAGAAGTGGGAGAGTTGGGTAGGGGAAAGGTGCTCACCTCAGGGCAGCAAGGAAACAGAGCCAAGGGCGTAGCAGAAAAGGAACATACGTTCTTCCAGATTATGCCCATGGTGACTTCCCTCTTTGGACAAGTTCCTATCTCTTAACAGCAAGTCAGCTATAATGCCCCATCACCTAGACACTTTCCAATGAAACACATAAGGTTTGGGGCTACTTTAGGTAGAAATTATAACAGGTTAGGTTAAGTTACCTTTAGTCTAATAGCAATTTAAAGGATGACTCTTCTGCTTTGTGACTGTTCTGCTAAGTGAAATAAATCAGACACAGAAAGTTAAATATGGGATAGTTTCTCTTCTATGAGAAACTCAAAAATATAAATAATTTAAAGAGCAGAATAAAAGATAGATGATAGGAAGCAGGGAGGTAGATCTTTTACAGATGGGAAGAGACCTAAGAATGGAGGGAGATGATAAGGGGAACAAAAAAGGATTAGGATGTGATATTTGTATGTATTGCTTCGCTACAAGGAATGTACTCATGTATTGTAAACATGTAATAAAATAAAAGATACTAAAAAACGCAGGACCCTCGTGGGGTATGCTGGTTTCCCCAAATGATCAACAATAATTTCTACTATAACTTTTGAGAACTTTAAGCCCTTGTACCCCAGTGTAATCCCTAGGAATGGTTCAGTTTAAAGCTTCCCTCATTGTTCTTTGCCTAGCTTCATATAGTTCCAGGGTACTAATGAATGTCTTAATATTCTGTAAATACTCAAGGAGACCCTATGAAGACTTCAGAGTTCTTCCTGCCATGTTCCTCTGTAGTATTTTTCCCCCACAACTCTCAGCGGCCTCAGCTTCTCTAGCTGTGAATTCTAGCTCCACCACTCAATGTTCTTCTTGGGATTCCTCTTCCTGTTCATTTGTCTGGAAAGTGATTCCAAAATGCAAAATGCTGAGGCAACTGTAAGGCTTTCCTTTAGAATTCCCTTTCCTCAGAGAATGGAGTCCTGCATAGCTTGTTGGGTTTTGTGTAATTATCAATTTGTGTTTGGTAGAAGGATGAGTCTGGTTTCCGTTATTTTATCTTGGCTTGAAGCAAAAGTTGAGTTTTTAATTTTTAAAATATATTTTAAAATTTAAAACTTGTAGAAAAAGCAAATATAAGTAGTAATAGGTAATAAATAGACACACATATTCCTCCTACCTATTTTATAAAATACATATTTTTTTCTGATTCTGGGGGTTGAACCCAGGGATTTTTAAACCAAGCTATAGTTCCAGTCCTTTTAATTTTTTTAATATTTATTTATTTATTTATTTTTTGAGACATAGTCTCTTTAAGTTAACCAGGCTCTGCTCAGAGTTGTGGTCTTAAAAGGACCCAGTGAAAGGAATGACAGCAGATGACTAAAGCCACCCTTCCCCTTTCTGCACTGTATGTACTTTATTTCTCAATGTGCATGTCAAAGAAGCTAAAAATCGGTTTGAGTCCTCAGAGTCTCAGCAGCTCACAATGGAGTCAGAAAATCAACTTCATCCTTCATTCATCTTTCACTCTTAGTAGTGATAATTACTGCCATGTTAAACAACTAGCTCTCAGGCCTCCATTGAAAAGGATTATGGCTTTTAAGACACTTCCGAGAAAAGCTTAATAAAGAACTACCCAGATAGACACAGACAGGGTGGTAAGAACTGAGTCTGTGGATGCAGAAGCAAAGCTCACGTGCCATTAATCACTTCCCCTTTCGCAATTTGAGCCATGTTAAGCAGACACTGGCATGCTGGTGCACACCATGTGCTCATGTGTCCGCTGTTCCACACTGCCAAATACTGGCATTCCTTGCCCTTCCCTTGAGAAATATGCTGGTCAAACAACTTTTTAAGCATTCAAAAAGCTGTGGTCTTTCTACCTCAACTTTATGGCATACTAGTATTACAGGCATGTACCACCATGTGTGGCTTCTTAGTAAACTCCTTAATAAAATCTTGACATTTACTTTCTTCAAATCTTTATTAAGGGTTACAACAATAGAATACAGTTGAAACCATATATATGATTGATATATATATATATATATATATATATATATTATATATTTTCTTAAAATTTTTTTATTTTCTGAATTTTTCCCCTGTGCCCCTTTTAGATAACTTCTATCATAAAGTCAATGTTTAGCATTCTCTTACATGCTTTTAGTATTACTTCATAATTTTATATCCCAAAATATATATCACTTCATTTGTTTAAAAACATTTACAAATGCTATCAAATTATATGTGTAAGTGTACTGACATGTCTTTCCTTTAGCACAATATCTTAGATATAGTAGTTCTATTTCAACTTTTTTCTATTCTACTGTTTTAATATTTTACTATATGTCCATTTTCTTATTGCTAGACAGTTCTTTTCAGTTTTTTTTTTTTTTTGCCAATAGGAATAATGTTGCATTGTACCTTCTTAATGTCCATGTCTTTATATGCTATACTAGAGTTTCATGTATTTATGAGAGAAGATTGTCAGGTCATGCATAGTATTTGTGCATCTTCAAATAGATATTGTCAAAAGTTTTTCCAAGAGAATTTTTACCAATTTAGGTGTTCATTAGAAATGAGCAGTCCAAACCATAGATGTGCTTTGTAGCCTTGATATTATGAACCTTTAATTTTTGTTAATCAAATATATGTGAAATGGTGTAGAGAAAATTAGAGCTTTTATGTACTTGTCTTTATTAGCTGTTTTTATTTCTTTTTATGAATTGTGTGTTCCTGTTTTTTTTTTTTCTATTTTTAGTCTAGATTATTGTATTTCTTAATTTTTTGAGTAGCTTTTAATATTTTCTGGTTACTCATCAGTTACCTGTATAACATATACCTTTTGACAGTAGGTAGCTTGTCTTTTTAATTATTGAATGATCTCTTTAGTTATGCTAAAGTTTAACATTTTAATGCAATTAATCTTCACTTTATTTCCCCCTTTAGCAAGAGTCTGTCTGCTGGAGATGTGATAGGATTTGATTTGGAATGGCCACCACTATACAGAAAAGGAAAACTAAGCAGAATTGCACTGATTCAATTATGTGTGTCTGAGGACAAATGTTACTTGTTTCACATTTCTTCTATGTCAGGTTGGTTGTCTCTTTTTTCATTTTTTTAATTGAAATTATAATATATGAACTTTATCCCTATAAAATTAATCTCTTAGCTGGCTTTTCTCCCATCAATATTTAAATATTTAGTTTCTACCTGATTTACTTATGATCCATGTTTCATTGATGTTTTATAACATTGTGTGAGGCATAGATATTTTTCTTGTTTTGAAGGGAGAAGTGAAGTTTAGAGACTGTTAATGATGAGGGATATACTGCTGACAGTAGTAGAGTTGCCATTCAGCCCTGTTTTTGCTTATCACTTACGCATTAGGAGTTTCTGTCTTAGATAAGAACAGGAATACGTAGGGTGAATGTGTTTCTGAATTTAAGCCAAACAAAAATACAAATTTAAAAATACATGTATTTATAAGAGGTGAGAGTACTTAACAGATATTATGAAAATAACAATGTAATGCTATAGTTTTTCCCAGGGGATTAAAAATGTTGCTTGAAAATGAAAGAATTAAAAAGGCAGGTGTAGGAATCGAAGGAGATCAGTGGAAACTGCTACGTGACTTTGACATTAAATTGAAGAGTTTCGTGGAATTGACGGATGTTGCCAATCAAAAGGTAGAATGTGTGTAATTTTTCCTAAAAGTAGATAATTTTGTGTTTTTACACAATATACTTTCTATCTGAATGTTATATTTTTGAAAAAATAATTTAAGCTATATTTTTTTTTACTGCAATAGAGAAGTTCTCTGGATTGTATTAGGGTATAACATTTCTAGTTTTATTCGTGGCCTGGTTATTTGATGCTGTTTTGGGATATCTAATATTAGCAGGAAGTAACTTTTGCTATATTACCTTTTCATTACTTCTAGTTGAAATGTGCAGAGATCTGGAGCCTCAATGGTCTGGTTAAACATCTCTTTGGTAAACAGCTTCTGAAAGACAAGTCTATCCGCTGTAGCAATTGGAGTAATTTCCCTCTCAGTGAGGATCAGAAACTGTATGCAGCCACGGATGCTTATGTATGTACTTACAGATCTCAAAGCTGGGGTGGTTTTTGAAACCTCATTATACATTTACTTTATAGAATTTTCGTTGTGGCTATGGCATAAGTTCAACTAAGATAGTATCAGCTTGGCATTAAAAAAATGCTTTCATCAAGTGAAATTTAGTTCTTGCTATAAATTAGCAGTACCAATCAACAGATTGTTGAGTGCTATTTATTTTCACTGTCATGATTCCAAAATAATGTTCAATTTGTGGGCAAAAGAAATGTGAAATTGCTGAAAACGTGAAAGTCTAATAAGCTTTGGCTCAGCAAGCACAAATGGTATTGATGATGTATTTGATAGGGAGCAATTCAGAATAAGAATAATTATCAAACACTTTATATATTGCAGCTGGCCTTATTTCTTATATTTATATTTAAACTATAGTGAAAATGTAGAAAAATTGTCTCCATATTCAACTTGTTGCTTTTGTTTTATATTTACAGGTTTGTAAATGGAGAAATCTGAGTGTTATATGTTGCTCTGTTTTGTGTATGTCTGGTTTAAAGTATAAATATATTTTTTCCACAGTGATTTTTTTTCCCATTAATTGGTAATTATTTATTAATGAATATATTTTTGTTTCCCATTTGCCTCTATTTTTAGGAGTCGAAACTCATTTAATTTTTAACCAGAAAAAAATTGATTTTTGTCAAAGGTATATGGCATAATAGTTCTTTTAAAAAAGTACAGTACCTGTTGAGAGTAGGACAAGTTCTGTACCATTTTGATTCATAAAAATTCAGTGTGATTTGATTTTTCCTGTTAACAGTATTTACAAGGAGGACTTTTCACACACTAACATTCTCAGCTGATTTAATAGAATGGAAGGAAGTAAATATCTGTGGTCAAAACAAACTTCTCTCCTAAGTATGTATTTTGTGAGAGTTTATTTACAAAGATTTTAATTTGGATATTTGCCTATACCTTTAAGTGTTAGTAAAAAGTTAAACTCTTTGAAGAATGAGGTAGCTTTCTCCATTCTCATAATTCTGTGGTGATTAAGTGAAGACAAATAGATGTACATGTAGCAGTATTAGGTTGAATTTAGTTTTGGGGTGCTTTGGGAGGAGTCATTCTATGGATTTTTCTAAAGGTAGGATATAGAATATTACTTAACTTATATTTATTCAGATTGCTCTTTTTTTAACCCCCTTCTGTTTTGCCACAGGCTGGTCTCATCATTTATCGAAAATTAGAAAGTTTGGGTGGTACCATACAGATGTTTGACACAAATACAGGTATGTTATAGACTGAGAATGAATGATAAAGTGTATTTATTGTTTGTTTTGTGAGGTTTATCCACACATGGTGAAATACTGTTTTTCTTCAGAATGACAGTATTCACAGGTTTGTAAAGTGTTGTGTGTTATTACAACTTTTCTTCTTATTAGTGCCTGTCTGCAGTACATATGAATTGCATGCCTTGTGAGGAGTTGGTGCATGTGCAGCACATCCTAATTCTTTTTTCATCGCCTTCACCTTCCTCTTTCTCCCTTCCTTCAATCTCTTGATCCTCTTATTTGAAAAATGTCTATCTCCCTACGTCCTAGTACCTTTTTTATTTTGCCCTTTATATTTTGTTTTCTTATATAAGAGAAGCCAGACAGTATTTAAGCTTGTGTACTTGTTTCATCTCCCTTAACATTCTTGTCTTAGGATATATCCATGTTCCTACAAGTGACTCAAGTTTAACATTCTTCATGGCAGAGTAGTACTCCATTATGTAAAAATGCCACATTTTCTTTATTCATCTGTTGATGGACATATAGCCCATTTGTAAGATTTAACTTTTATGATTTTTGTTTCCCTATAGATATGCGTATGAACATACCAGTATAACTTTAACTCCTTTGAAAAGATACCTTGGAGGGGAATAGTTGTGTGAAATGGAATTTCTTCTGTCCTTAGCTTTTTGAGGAATCTCCATATTGATTTACATAATGGTTGTACCAGTTTGCATTCCTTCCAACATTTAGAGAGGCTCCTTTTCTCTGTGGCCTTGCCAGCCTTTGTTACTATTTGATTTCTTTATGGTAGAAATTATTTCTGTGTTAAGATAAAATTTTAGTGTTGTTTTAGTTTGCATTTCCGTAATTACCAGAGGTAAATGTTTACTGACATTTCTTCATGTATTTATTGGACATTTGTACTTCTTTTGAGGAGTGTCTGTTCATTTTAGTTGCTTATTTTTTGATTGGGACGTCTCTGTTTTGGATGGAAATCCTAATTTTTTTGAGCTGTTTATATATTCTAGATCTTCTGTTGTGGTTACTCTTCTTTTGTTGCAGGGACAAATACCCAACACCCAAAATGAAGGAAGGAAAGGTTTATTTAGCTCACAGTTACTGGAAGTTTCAGTCCATACTCAGCTGGCTCCAAGGCAGACTGGCACATGGCAGACAGCAGCAGTTCACGGTGGCACAAGGCAGCAAAACAGCAAGAGCAAAAGGGAGGAGCAACAGTAACTACAGAGAACAAGTCTGTCTCCCTTATGTTGTATTCAAGCTGTTTGCCCCAGGCCAGATGTAGCACTCACACCCATAATCCCAGTGGTTCATGAGTTAATCACAAACTCTAGAAGTCAATCCTATGACTGCATAAGGCTTTGGGGGGGTCAACTAGACACAAACCATAACATCTTAGTACTTTGAAGAACAGCTATACATTTTTTTTTAACCTGTCTCGGTTGGTTTTTCTCTTTGCTCTGTTGGTTGTTTCTTTTATTCAGCAGAGGCTTTGTATTTGATATATTCTCATTTGTTGATCCTTGGTACCATTTCTTGTGTACTGGGGTTCTTTTCAGAAAGTCCTTGCGTATGCTTATGACTTCAAGAGTTTTCCTCATTTTATCTTCCAGCAGATTGTTTCCATTTTAACATTTGGCTCTTTGATCCATTGTTAGTTTAGTATATGGTGAGAGATATGGGTGTAGTGCATACAGATAGCCAATTTTCTTAGCTCCATTTATAAGAGAGGTGATTTGCCTCTGGTTTATGTTTTTGGCTCCTTTGTCCATGAGCAAATAGAGTAATGTGATTGGGTTTTTTCCTGCATCCTCTATTCCGTTCCATTGATCCACATACCTGTTTTTGTGCCAGAACTATATAATTTTTATCACTGTTGTTTTCTTGCATAGCTTCAAGTCCAGTGATATGATGTCTCCTACTTTGTTATTCTTATCCAGAATGCCTTTTATTTTATTCTGTTTCTTTTTGGTTCTGCATGAATTTTGGGATTGTTTTCTCTAGTTCTGTGCAGAATGCTATTGGTATTTTGATTGGGATTGTGTTAAATCTGTATATCAATTCTGGAAGAATTCCTATTTTGACTATATTGGTTCTGCCTATCCAGGAATGGGCATTTTTTCATTTTTCTGATGCCTTTATCTCCTTTTTTTAGAGTATTGAAGTTTTTATTGTAGAAGTATTACAGTTCGTTGGGTAGGTTAATTTTTAAGTATTTGATTATTGTTGGTGCCAATGTGAATGGTATTTTTTGTAATAACTTTCTCAGTGATTTCATTATTGACATACAGGAACATTTAATTTTTGTTGTGTTGATTTTGTATTGTGCTACACTGCTGAATTTGGGTATTCTACTAGTTTCTTGATGCAGTTTTTAGGTTTTTGTATAGGATCAGTGTCATTTGCAAATAATGATAATTTGACTTCTTCCTTTCCTATACATATCCCTTTTTTTCTATCCTGATTGCTCAAAACTAATATTTTGAGTACTATATTCAGTAGGGTGGGATAGTGGACATCCTTGTCTTGTTATTGATCTTTGAAGAAAAGGTTTCAGTTTTTCCCCATTTAATATGATGCTGAAAGTAAGTTTGTAATAAATGGCTTTTATGAGATTGAGATAATGTCCTCCTAAACCTATTTTCTTCAGTATTTTTATTATACATAGATGTTGAAATTTGTCAAAGGCTTTTATTGCAGTTATTGAGATGATCATGTGATTTTCATCCTTTTATTTGTGTGATGAATTAGATTTATTGATTTGTGTATGTTGCACAATCCTTTTGTCCTTGAAATGAAGCCGACTTGGTCATGGTATATGGTCTTTTAGATTATTTGAAGATTTTTCATATATATTCATTGAAGAGATTGGGCTATAGTCCCTATTTATTTAGTATTTTAGAGAATGATCTACAGGGTGCTTAGGGTCTCACTTCCAGATCAGACGCATAGTAATTCTCCTGTTTATAGCCTCCCAAGGGCTGGGGTTATGTGCCGCCCCGACCAGTCTCAGTGCACGCTGGGGGCGGGGCCCACATGGCAGGCTCAGGGATCAAAGCCCTGCAAGTTCCCTTTTTTTGTTGGATCCCTCTCTGGATTTGGAATCAAGACAATGTTGGCTTTCAGAAATGACATTAGGAGTACTGTTTCCCTTTCAGTTTGATTACCGAGCTAGAGGAGTATTGATGTTAAAGGTTGCTTACAGTTTTTATAGAATTCAGCAGTGAGCCGGACTTTTAGATGGTAGGTTGTTTTATTACTGATTCAGTTTCACTACCTGTTACTGGGTTATTCAGAGTTCCTGCATATTTTGGTAGTGGCAATTCACGTGTGTGTAGGAATGTATCATTTCTCAATTTTTCAATTTATTGGTGTATATGTTTGCAAAGTATTTGCTAATAGTTATCTGGATTTATATGATGTCCATTGTGATTTTGCCTTTTTCATACCCAATTGCACTGATTTGAGTTTTTTCTTTCCTTTTTTGGGTAAGATTGGTACCTTTCTTATTGTCATTGCTGGTACAAAATACTCATCATGAACAAGTTAAAGGAGGAAAGGTTTATTTTAATTTACATTTTTATACAGGTTTCATGCTATAGTCTATTGGTTCCAAGCCAGGGTGACATGGTAGAGGAGAAACTGTTCATGGCATGGTAGGCAGGACAAGGAGCTTGCTTTCCTTCTTTTGCTTTATATTTCATCATCCAGGTGGGTAATCTATTAATTATAAGTGCTATCTATACTCAGGGTGGAGCTCCCCTCTTCAGTAATCCCCAATATACAAAATCAACCAGTGGACTGATTCAGTTATCATACCACCATAATCCAGGACCACACACATGTGATTCAGCTACCTCCAATAAGCCACATCTACAAGTGCATAAGGTTTTGGGGGATATCTAGGTATAACCCATAATATCCCTTCCCTGACCCTCAAAAGACTTGTGTTGGGCTGGCCAAATAGCTCAGTAGATTAAAACACCTGCAAGCAGGTGCAGGGGCTGGGGATTTGATCTCCAGTGCTGCTGTGCCGGCCCTGCCCATAGGGTGCACTGAGATGGTAATTGAGACTGGGTGTGGTGGTGCACGCCTGTAATCCCGGCTGTGAACAGGCGGATCACTATGAGTCCAATCTAGTAATGAGACCCTGAACACTTTGTAGACTTTCCTAAAATACAGAAAAAAAAAAGAAAAGAAAAAGACTTAATGTGTATTCCTTTATGCAAAATACATTTAGTTCATTTCTAAGAGCCGTCAGAGTCCCAACAAGTTTTAGCATTTCTGAAAAGTCCAAGTCTAAAAAGTCTCTAAGATTTATTGCATGCTCTTGGCTACAAGTCCTTGTAAAAATGTAATAAAAGTTAAGCATTTCCAACCTACAATGGCACAAGGTAAACATTCCCATTCCAAAAGGTAGAGTAGTGGTATATATTGAATGGGACCAAAGCAAGACCTAAATCAACTGGACAAGCATTATATCCCACGGTTGTATGTTCAACATCTGTTGCAGGGTGGCAAAATACGAACTCCAAAAGGCTTGGGTGACTCCGCCCCAGTCGCACTGCCAAGTGGTGGTGACCCTCATAGCTTCTTTCTTGGGCCAGTGTTGTAGTGAGTTTATAAGGGAAAAAATTTAATACAGGACACATAATTTACAGGATTATTTTATAATATTCACCCAAAGAGTCAAATTCAAGGATTGGGGGAGATCTGTCCACAGACTAGAGACCCCAAGTATCCAGCTGAGGGCCTGAATCCCATGGCAATGCCCTACATAAGTCCAGCTAAAGATCTATAGCCCATGGCAACATCCCACATGAGTCCAGCTGAAAGTCTAGAGTTCACAACAATGCCTCATGCAAGTCTGTATCAAGATTTGCCCTGGAAAAGCCTAGAGCTCACTGGTGGAAGTTAGGTAGTCCATACCAGAGAAATAAAAAATCTATGCCAACAGTATGAGGGGTCTGTACTGGAGCCAGGAAGTGCTCAAA